AGAGCGATGAGGTCTCCCCTCAGCCTCCTTTTCTCCAGGCTAAACAACCCCAGCTCCCTCAGCCGCTCCTCATCAGACTTGTTCTCCAGACCCCTCACCAGCCTCGTTGCCCTTCTCTGGACACGTTCCAACATCTCAACATCCTTCTTGTAGTGAGGGGCCCAAAACTGAACACAGTATTCGAGGTGCGGCCTCACCAGTGCCGAGTACAGGGGCAATACAGGATGTATGAAGAAACCTTGCCGCAGGGGACAACGCCGAAGCTCACCCATTGCTGCTGCTCCCTGTCCCTGTTCTCTGCCTCCTGTTGCTGCTGGAGTCTCCTGCAGTGACAAATGACGACTCAGGGTTAACAAACAGGCCGGACGAGCTGTTTGCTCTGCACAGGGCGGCTCTGGGACCTCACCCTGCTGCAGCCACACTTCGCTTCTTTGGGAAGAGCAAAGGAAGGACATTCCCCCTCACCTCCGGGGCCACAGGCCACCCCCGGAGCCGTGGCGGGGGCAAGAGCAAGGAGAGAGGGGCAGAGTAGCAGGAACTGCTTCAAATAGTGGGACCAAACCGGGGAAATCTCTTCCTTCAGGGGCACGGACAAGAGCATGCAGCACGGAGGGGCTGGGCAGACTTCCCCATCCGAGCTCAAAACAGGAAGGCAGTGCCCGCTGCTGCTCGCAGAAGTGAGCTCCACCACCTAACAAGGCTCCCGGGGGTCACGCCGGGCTTGGAGAGGAAGGAAATCAGCAGAGAGAGCACAATGACGGTCCTCGCACACGCCGCCTCCTCTCTGCAGGGCTCAGAGCCCTCCACCAGCCGGCCCGGACCTCCGGCACCCCCTGAACGGCGGCCACAGGTTTCAGTGACATGCTCCAGAAGCACCCTGCAAGGGGGGGGGACTTGGTCCTGGGGCAGGATCCGCGGGCAGGGAGACCCCACGGATGATGCTGGACAAGCAGGCAAGCTCGTCAGCAGTTTGGCCAGGGAGAAGATGCTCTCTCCACCCCAGGGGCTTGCAGGGGGACACCCA